AAAGTTTTGTTTCAGAATAAATCGTGAAACTGATTAAAATGGAAACTATATTCTGGATTCAATATTGCATTTCAGGACTTTTATTGACAATTTTGTGCATTATTGGTCTTTTAGGGAATACATTAACTCTTTATATATTAAATGTAAATCAAGGTATGATTGCTTTGCAATATAAAACAAATAAAATATAGTATTTAATACTAGATTATTATTCTTAATTTAAAAATTATTTATAGAATATACCAGCAAAAGTGTTTAGTTATAAATTAAATTTAAAAAATACTTTAAAACATATAAATTTTAAATTATACTTATAAGTTATAACTAATTATGAATACCAAATTACTTAATTAAACTTAATTTAGATTTGAAAATTTAGTTAGTAATATCTAAATTATTATTAATACAAGGTTATTTAATGCAAACAATTTACTGTGTTAAAAGACTTGTATTTATTTACCATTTTTATTACATATTATAATAACAGATTTTTAAAAATATGGAATAAAGAATCTTATTTTGATAAAATAAAATTTAATTAATATAGTTTTGATATTTTGAAAAGCTAAAATATTTTTATTTTATATACAGTATTATAAATTTTCAAACATAAAATTTTATTATATTTTTAAAGTAAACATTTTATACAAATTTTATGCTAGAAATTTTATTGACTTATTAAATATTTTATGCAATTTATTTGTAAAAATTATATTTCTGTTTTTTTAGAATACAAAACAACAAGATTCATAAGATTTAATTTTTAAATTTGTTCTCATCAGGATATTATTAATATAGCATTGTAAAAGATCCCAAAACTCAAATCTTATAAATAGGTGTTTCATATTCTCAATACAAACTTATTTAAATCAATTTCATTAAATCAATCTTTCAATTGTCTAGTCTATTTTATCAATTTTATTAATATTATTCTGGTTTTCAAATATCTTTAAAGTGTTAATCATATCTCAAATTATAAATATTAGAGATATAACAAAAAATTTTTTAAAGATTACTTAACTTAAAATATTAATCTTTAATTTTAATGAAAATCAGTAAATAATACCCTACTATATTATATTGTCAATTCATAAGTTATATAACATAAATTAAGTTATGAATAATAACATAATAGATTTATAATTTAGATTGAAATGTAATTGTATTTTTACACGAAGGATTCTTACCATATATTCTTAAAGATTTATTTTAAAAATACCCAACTACTGATATTGCATACGATATTCATAATAAATATATGAAATTATTATCAATTTTTAAAAATTAGAATTAACGACTTTATGTCATAAAAGTTTAAAATATATTTTATTATTGAATATTAAAATAAAAAAGTAATAAAAGTTTTTCTTTTTTTGAAGATATGAGAAAGCAATCGATAAATATATATCTGACTGTTTTGGCTCTTTATGATAATGGAGTGCTATTATTTGGTATATTAATGCTTGGGGTACCGGCCCTCTACTTAAACCCGACACAAATGGACACAAGTGATGAAGTTCCGGTGCTCTCATCCGAACCATTGTTATCATTAGATATATCAAATACAAGCGAAACATATTTGTCGGTTAATTCCCAAAGAATTATGTTTTGTAACAAAAGTATTCAATCGACAAATGAAACGAGTTTTCTGTTAAATGAAACAGAAATTTATGACAACAAAGACTGCAATGAGTCGAGAGAAGAGACCACAAATGATAATCCATTTTATAATCCGTTACAATATTACATTCGTATAGTATATCCATTGGCACTCATATCACAGACGGGATCCATTTGGACCACTTGTTTAATAACAGTTGAGCGCTATTTAGCTGTTTGTCATCCGTTACGATCGCTCACTCTGTCCACCCGTTCCCGAGCCATATGGGCGTTGAGTGCACTGTCTGTCTGCGCGTTTGTCTACAATTTGCCCCGTTTTGCAGAAATAGATACCACTGATGAAGCCGTCAAACAGTCCAATTTTAGGAGAAATAAAATCTATTATTGGTTTTATTATATTTTCTTAAACCTCACTCTCAGTTACATCATTCCTCTGAGTCTCTTAAGTGTCCTCAACACCAAAATCTATTTCAGTGTCCGAAAGGCCAGTAATAACCGAAGTGAACTCACCAGGGCCAGACAACGCGAATTGAATTTGGCCAGTATGCTCACACTATTAGTCGCTATTTTCATAGGTTTCATATATTTCTCACTCACTATTAATAGAAAATAAATATAATCCAGATTTGCCTAACATATAAAACCATTATTTGTTTATAGCGTGTAATGCACCCGCATTTGTCATCAATTGTCTGGAGCTCATAAAACCGGATTACTTGGTTTTGCCCACAATGTTCTCCAATGTATTAGTTTGTCTCAACTCTGCCATCAATTTTCTCATTTATTGCATTTTCGGCAAAAAGTTTAGAGAAAAACTCAAAGAAGTGTTTAAATGTCGGACACGAAAGAAAATACGGAAAAGCAGTGCAAATCGACAGCACTATTACTTTGGGGGCAGTTGTGCCGTCGATACCTTTGTTTGATTTCTTTGCACATCTATTATACATAATGTATATAATATTGAATGCATTCATTGAATTAATAAGTGATTCAAATAAAACCAAATTCTAAACAAAAGCATACAAATAAATATAAATATATTCTATATTGTGTATTACAGTAAGTCAATAATATTATAAATATAACTTAATATGGTATCAAAAAACTATTTATTTTATGATTACTTTCTTTACATTAATTTTTTATAACTCTAATACTGAAAACCAATGGTTTTCTGTTGAGTATTTTGCGCCTAAACTTTCTTTTATGTTAATATTAAGACAAATTTCAGTTCACTCTTTATTTCATTGAATTAAAATGATATATAATTTAGTTTTTCTCTATATTAACTTACTTCAGAGAAATCAAGATAAATCTCTAAAGAGTAAAATAAAAACTAACATTTGTCTCACAAATAAACTCTTATCTAATAAAAATATAAATATTTGAACAATAATTCACTTTATTGTAAATCATGTTTACACAATTGTTTGTAATTTAAATGATATCCTGTTCCATATGTATCACATAAGATTGTGTCAAATTTTATTAATATGATAAAACCCTATTTTATAATTTAAATGTAACTTTGAATAAAATCCAAATCTGAATACTTGGTACCAAATACTTTAAAACAAATTCTACAAGACTAAAGAAAGCAAACATTATTTAAAACATCCTAACTATAAGAATATAATGACTTAATTAACGTTAGGTCTATACAGTAGTAAGTAATTAAAGTGCAGTTTTACCAGAATTGATATGACCAGTTAACTGTAAGTAAGTAAGTAAGGTGACTTATTTTCTTATAAAATGCTAAATGGAATCTAGTATTAAAATCAAAATGGTAATTTATATATTAGTAATAATTAAATGTAATATAAATTTATAAAATGATAAGTGAAATTATATTATATATCTAAACAAAATTGTGAAATTAAACGATATTTAAATATTTTATGAATTCACTTTAAATTTTTTTAATTTAAAATTTTATACCGTAAATATATATATAAATAATTTACAAAAATAAGCATAGCTGTGGATATATTAAAATTAAAGAATTAATATACTAAATAAATGATGATATATTTTAAATTTTAAATGTAATTACAGTATTTGATTGTTGCTACATCTTATGTGAATTTTAAGATAGTTTTTAAATTTAAATTTCATTAAGTAATTGATTAATTTAAACTTCTTTTTAAAGTAGTAATTTTAACAAACTTTACTTTATCTAGACAAATTTTAAAGATACAATTCTGAGAACGTGGCTCACATTTTAATGTACCTTTTCAATTTAATATTATTAGAAAGTTACATCAACGTATAATCTTATACCTTAAACCTTATATAAACTTTTCTAATTCATTTATTGTCATGAAACAACATAACATTAAATGTTTATAAATAAAACTTTAATTCTTAGAAAATTTTATTTTTAAAGTTATTAATTATTAATTAAAACAAATATAATCTTTATTATTTGACTCGTGTTTCTTTTATGTCATATAATGATTGTTTGTTTTATAGTACTTTCAATAAGAATATCATATTATTCTTTGGAGAATTCAATTACTGCTTGTTTTGAGAAGACATTCACATTCACATGATTTATGGATTAAAACTAACAAATGCTATCTTTTCCACAAGTCTTTACTTTATATTCTAGTAATTATATCATTAATGTGACACATTTTTTGTGGTCTAAAGTTGAGATTTTTAATACATCATATAATAAATTACAAATAATAGCAACTGAATATAGTTGTCATTATGTATGGTGTTTGTATAATAAATTATATAATATAAATTATATACCCGTATAGTATTTTACAGGGGATTATGCGACAATATCGCTTTTACTTTACTCACAACAGTATTTATTCTAAAAAATAAAAAATTAATGAGATTTTCTTTTCTTTTATTGATTTAATTTATTTTACTTTCTTTCTTACAAAAACAAATAAATGATTATTAGCCTGTCGTTAAGATTTTATTTGTTTAGCCCACTATATTCAAAGGCCTAACACAATATCAAGTTTAAAATTATGATAAATATATTTTGTCTAGTTTTAAATTTATTAGATGTCATTTTTTCAATTTCTTGTATAAATAATTTTTCTTATATTCAATTAGCATGGCAAACAATAAGGGTAATGTATTTACAGGAAAATCAATGAAATTAATGGAATGAATTGAGTGCTTGTATTAGTGCACAATTGACCACAAATCTAATGATGTCTCTAAATTTGCTATAAAATAAATGATTTAAATTTATGTTATCATTAATAAAGCAACGCTTTTGCTAAACAATTATTTGTATTTTTTGCAGTTATCAAAATTAGCGAAATTAACTATATTTCCTCCTAGTGTAAATAGAAGTGACACAAATTATAACATTACTATTATTGCAATTGATTTAAAAGTCAATAAAGCAATGAAAGAATTGTTTTAATTATCTTTTCAATCAATTTAGTTTAGACAACAAATTCAAGCAACGGATATAAGTATTTGAGCACAATTTAAACTGTTTAAATATAATAATATAAATTTAAAAAATACCAATGCAGACTTAAAAGATTGAAATAACTCATATGCAGTTAATATTATTTTGGGGATTTACTTATGATAAATCAACCACAATCCATTTAATATAAATGTTATTTTTGAAACATTTTAACTTTTAAGGTATTATCTGCATTTTGAATATTCTATTTCATATTCTGTTGTAATTTTATTGCTCTTTGAAAGAAATGATAAAATATACCAAAATATTGATCACAAAAGTCAAAAAGAATGTAAAAATAGAAAAATCATAAAAACTTTAAAGTGAAATGTTTAGCAAATACTTATGCTTTACATAAAAACTCTTAAAACGTTAAGTATCAATATTTTGCACATTAAATAAAAATAATTAAATTCAAAATTGGATTCTAGTTTTCATCATTTT